ATAATTCAAAGATGAAAAAAGAGACCAAGCACTCAGAGGTGCATGTCTTCCCCAGCACCAGTTTGCAATAGCAGCTGATTCAAACTTAAGTTGTTTTATGAAGAAACAGTAAAATTTTAAAATTCTGATCCTCTAGATAAAAACATGCTGCCGCTGGACCTGCCACATCAGAACACAGAGGTTTGGGAACAGGAAACAAACCCTTCACCTGCCAGCTACAGAAAGGGAATGAAAAAATATCTCAAAAACCAGCTCAGCATTACTGGAAACAAAACCTTCAGTGCAGGTTGGAGTTGCCAGTCCAACATAAGCTGCTTTCTGCACAGACTGCCTTTTCCAAAAGAGGAGTCCTTTGCACTGAGGGTGTGAGTTACCCTCGTGAGGAAGGACGAACACAACACTCTCCTCTGTGCACACGAGGGAACATTTCTGGCAGTGCCGGCCAGCCCCGTTTCCCACATCGTGTGATTGATTACGCTCCCCCCTTAGAGGAGTTGATTGGTTTCCTGGTGCCAGGAAAATGATTGATGAATATTTCAGGCCATGGGCCTCTCTTCCTGCTGGGTGTCCTTTTCACATGTCTCCAATGGGCCTGGGGATTTTTTGCAAGACTAGGAAGTGTCATTTTTATGGATATCATCCTGTGATAGAACCACTTCACTGAGCAGAGGCCCTGTGTAAATCCAAGTGAAATACTAAAGGTCAACTCAAGTGTTAAGGTGATGGACCCAATCAGCACGTCCCAGGTAAGCAGGAAAACAGAACTGGGCAAAGAAAAGCTTCACAAAGCAGCAGAACAGGAGGCAATGAGTAGCCACACTGAGCTTGCTACTGCAAACTGGTAGCAGCACACTGGTACCCAACACTGGCATCTTTCCTCAGTTTCCTTCAGTTTTGTAAAACACTACAAATAAGGTAAATTTGCAGGTAAGAATAATCCCTGCTTGTGACCCACAGAAAGGGCATTTCCTTACTGCTGTGGATAAAACAGGCAGAGGATGTGGAGTCTCCTGGCAAGAGCACACACAAGACATCTGAAGCAACAATATACTTAGGAATAATTCCTTGTAAGTATTGCCAAAAAACATAGAACTACAGCTGTGAGAGTGAATGAAGAGATTTTTGGAGGACAAGTTGGTGTTTGGCAGAACTTTCAGAGACTCAAAGTTCTTTTACAAATTTTTACTACAGCCACGACAGCCATCATTTAATCACTTGGCTTAGGGATCTGAGGGCTCCAAAGCAATTCCTGCAGGTAAAACCCTGGGCTTCTCAGAGCTGGGGGGGTTTACCCAACGAGAATTTTGAGATTTAGTCCCCAGGACTTCACAGTTCCAGATTATGTTTCCATAAAAACTATTCAAGGTTTTTATCACGTTTCAGCTGAGAGGTATTTCCAGACAAGGACATCCCAGCAGTTTGCAGTCAGCCTGGTATTAGAGCCATGATAAATTTTTCTGGTTTTTTTTCCTGATGTGTTTATGAAGGGAAAACGGGTTCGAAAAAATTAATTTCACACTGAGCAGACATTTCTCTAAGTTTAAATTTCACCAGCTCTCCAAGCCCATAGCTGGGACGGTTAAGCAAGGGAAGGCAGACACGTAACTTGTGCTCTCTGAAGGACGTGGGGTGCACCCTGAGTAAATGAAACCTCCTTATCGAAGCGCTGGAGAAGAACTCACACACTCCAGGCATATACTGCTTTCAAGATAAGTTATGGGCAATCATTTACCAATAAAGAACTTCACTGAAGCCTCTCTGTGGTGCACTTCCTCTTTCTAACAAAACCTGTACAGAATCATTTTTATCAACATATAAAATCTGGAAGTCTTCTAATTATGTAATTAGAGCTGTAATAATTAAGACCAAAGCTAAACCTCGAAGGGTCCCCTTGTCCCCCAACTTCCCTTTCTCAATTAACTCTGCACAGTGATAACCACTCTGGCTTAAAGGCTAAAAAAAGGACAGGATCAAAAGGCTGGTTTAATACAGCTGGAGGGGAAGAATGCATTTCAGCTCCCCAGCAGCCATCTGATGAAACCCTGGGCCAATTCTCTATGTAAATGACTTAATTAGAATTACCAGATTACACTGCTGAAGGCTTTATTTAAATAGGCAGTTTATCAACAGGATAAACTGTGCTCCCATTCTCACAGAATGCTGGCGTAAATGCATCTGTTCAAAGCTCTACCACACAGGAGTTGAACAGTAATTCAATAAAACCACTGGCACATCTTCCCCATCAAAAAAAGAGACACCACAAAGGGCTTGCCAGAGGCAGGACAGAGAGACGGCTATTGCTTCCCAACAATCACGAAATAGTCTCCTGGATCAGGAAGTTCCCTCATTTTCTGTAACACAGCATCTTTATACCGCTTTATAGCAAAGCAGGGAAATAATCCTGTTGCTGCAGTGTCGCATCACACACTGCATCTGCTCAGCATCCAGCACAGGCCTGGCCTCGGCACAAAAAGGCATGCATAAACCCATCTTCCTGATTAATGATCTACAGAAGACATCAATACCAAATTCCAACTTTACACCAAGAGGTATTTTTCCATCTTACCATCAAATCAAACAAAGGAATTCAGTTCTTCCTAAATCACAAATCATTCCTTTCCCATCACAGACCTGAGTTCAGAATTCAATTATTTTCTATTATTATTATTTACAATAGCAAGAGCTATCCACATTCAACAAGCCAACACTGAGGTGAAATAACACTCTAGCTTCTTGTTTATTCAGAGACATTTGACTTCAGCAGCATTCCCATTCGACAACTCCATTTGTTTTTCTTCCTAAATCTTCAAAGAAATGTTTATAGCAAGACCCAACTATATCAATGAAATAGTCTTTGTTAAGCAGAGGCTTATCTCATCAGATGCAAAGCAACCAAGCCTAAAGAACCACTAAAAATGTCAGTGTGTGCCAGTAAGGTTTGGGAGCGCTGTGGAAAAGGGAAGGGATGTAGGCAATTTTTTTTTCGAAAATGTTAACATTCTTTGTGCTCTGACAACTTTCCTCTTCTCTCTGGTATGAAGTTCATCCAGATCAGTAATCTGCCTATCTGAAACTCTGATAATTTTGCAGGAACACAAAATTCAAGTTGTTTCCTGATAAATCTGTCTTCTGTGACCACACTACACAACAAAGTGTCCACAGTTACCTCAATTCTAGATCATCTGCTTTATCTCTATTTTAGCTAAAACAAAAAATAACTAAAACTGTGTAAAAGCCATCACATCTCTCTCACAGAGGAAAAATGTGCCAACTGAAGCTATAGGGAAACTGCTCTTATATGCGACCCTGTTGAGAAAAAATTGCTACTACTGCAGGAAAAATGAACACCTTAATGTAATTACTTTAAAAAAAATTGGTTTCACTCGTTGCCATTAATTTGCTCAATGACAAAATATGTTTCTTACATGGAAGGGGAGGTACTCAAATTGGCAAGGGAAAAACCATCATCTTATATTCTGAGAACGTCAAGTGCCCCCTCAAATAATGAGGCTGCAATTGCCCGTAACTGCTGAAATAAAACCACGTCATTTGAAAGTTATCCCGAGGCTTCTCTCACTGAAGACACCAATAAACTTGCAGCAGTTTACTCTGGGTTAACACAGAAGCCACGTGCAGAGCTTAAGTTCATTAATGATTTTAACACAGCCACCAAGAATACATTCCGACTTTTACACCTCTGTCCTGTGTACCTATATTTGCATCATACAATTTTAACTGTTTTCACGAAGATGCTCAGGGTATCAGAAGTGCCAGTAATATTCCTCAGAAAGAGGAAATGTTAAGAGTCTTCATTTGCCATTACCATTTGCAGGTATTTTATAAGCCCATGAATTACCAACCCAATCTTTTCTGCTCCTCCCCTGGCCACCCGAGGCTCTAGAAAGACTGAAGGTCAAGCAATGTCTCAACACTGCCCCAGTATTTCACATTTTTGAAGGCAAAGCAGTAGAAGGTTGTCACATTATCCATTCAAACGACTAACTGCAGCCACAGGTACATCTGTCACATGAAACAGCTATACAAGACATGCAAGGAACTCTTAGAACTAATCTGATTAATCAAAAGAGATTCCCCCAAAATCCCACGTCTGCGAGAAAAATAGCAAATGCAGACAAAGCACTAACACTGTTGGACTCTTGGGGACACCAAAGCAACAACACTTCACAAATTAAGCCATAAAGTTCAAAAAGTATTAAGGATGTATTAAAGTATTAAAAGCATTATTAAAGTATCTAAGGGTATTAAGTGTCTTTCATCCAATTGGACATCTAATTAAGCGAGGAGGAATAAAGTGCTTCCAGGGACACAACTCAGAATTACACTTTAGGGTGGTTACAGAAATGCCCATTTCTGCAGTTCCCGCACTGCGTGTGTTTTGGTACCGCCTGTATCTTAAACCGAGGATGCTGCTTGATAAAAAGCCTCTTTTGTCTGAGCAAACCCTTTGTAGAGAACCCGAGTACCTTAAGATGGTAAAATGCAATTGTAAACCATAAAAATTGGCAGGGACATTCAAGTGCAGATGCGGCATCTGCATAAGGGAAGTGTAAAAGGGTCCCAAATGGTGCCCATAAACGCCGGGCCGGGACCGGCTCCCAGGGGTGAGGGGAACACAGCCGGGGGCTGTACCGGGACACCCGCCCGGAGCCACCCCGCACACCCCGCGGCACAGCGCGTTCGGAGGGGGAAAACACGATTTTTGTGAAACGAGTTAAATTCGCAGGAAGCGCCGCAGCGCCTGAGGGGACGCGAGCCCCGCGTGCCCCGCAGCGCCCCGAGCGGGTCCCGCCGGCCCGGCCCGGCCCGCGGGGGCAGCGGGGCAGGCCGGGCAGCGGCCTTTGTTGTGCCCCGCGCCCGCGGAAAAGTTGTGGCCACCGGGACGCTCCGACCCCCGGCACCCCCCGTGCAGCTCGGCCCCGGCCCCGCGCCCCCGGCCCCCACCCCGGCCCCGGCCCGGCCGAGCCCCGCGCTCCACTCACCGGTGCGGGGCGGCCCCTTGCTGGCGGCGCGGGGCTCCGGGAGCTCGGCGGGCGGCTCCAGCTCCATGGCGGCGCCGGGGCCGCGCCGGGCCGGGCCGGGGCGCGGCGGCTCTCAGCGGCCCCGGCGGCCGCGCTGCCCCATGGCCGCCCGGGCGCTGCTGACAGCCAGGGCCGCGCCGCGCTCGGCCGGGCCGGCCCGCCCTGCTCCGCCCCCCGCGGCACCACGGGAGCCGTAGTCCGAGCGCCGCCCGCGGGGAGCGCTGCCCCGCCCCGGGCGCCGAGCCCCGGCCCGCCCCGGCTCCCCCGCGCCCCTGCACCCGGACCGGCGAGGCGCCAGGGGGCACCCGCCGGCCGAGCCCCGAGCGCTGCCCGCGGCACCGGGGAGAGGGGAAATGGGCACCGGCACCGGGAGGGGGGAAACCGGGCATCGGGCACCGGCACCGGACACCGCGAGAGGGACACTGGGGAGAGGGGAAACCGGCACCGGGAGAGGGGAAACGGGCACCGCCACAGGGAGGGGGGAAACCGGACACCGCGAGAGGGGAAACGGGCACCGGGCACGAGGAGAGGGGAAACCGGGCACCGGGAAACGGGTAACCGGGCAGCTCCAGCGAGGGTCCAGCCCGGCTTGCCCAGGGCCACCCCCCTCGGGGACGCCCAGCCCGGGAAAGGGATACCGGGCACCCCGGTACACGAGAGCCCGAGCGGCCCCGGGGCGGGCACGGCCGGCTCCGCCCGGGGGGAACGCGCCGCCCCCGCCGCTGCTGGGGCCGGTGCCGTCGCCGGGACGGGGCGGGACGGACGGGCGGGACGGGCGGCTCCTCCCCGCCGCCGGGCCGGGCGGAGCGGAGCGGGGCTCGGTGCGGGCGGTCGCCGCCGCTCTCGCCATGCGGGCGCTGCTGCTCCCCGCGCTCCTGCTCCCGGCGCTGGCCGCGGCGCGCGGCGCCGCCACGGTAAGGACGAGCCGCACCGGCACCCACGGGGGTCGGGACCGGGACAGCAACCACGGCCAGTGGGTCCCGGCCGCCGTGCCCGGCGGTGCTGGGGGCGGTCGGGGGCAGCCCCGTCCCCGTGGGGCAGGTCCGGTGTTCCGGCGGTGCCCGGCGGGTCGGGCGGTCCCGGGCGGAGCGGGCGGGAGTCCCGGGCGTGTCTGGGTACCGGAGCACCGGTGGTGCCCGTGGTCCCCTCGCGGTGCGGGTTCGGAGCAGGGAATGGTCCGGGCTGGGGGCGCGCTCGCGGGGCTGGGAGGTGCCCAAGCCCCGGCGCTGCGGCGATGGGCGCTGCACTGAGCGACTCCGTGCCAGAGAGAACAGCCCGGACAAGCCTTCCCCCGCGGGGCTGAGGAGCGGGCAGCGGGGGAGCCAGCCTCCCCCGTGGATCCAGGAGCCCTCGGTTCCAGCTGGAACCTGTCTCCCACGGGGTCAGTGGCCTCAGAGGCCGGAGCAGGGACACCAGGATCCAGCCCAGAGGGATGGTGCTGGGAGCAACTACTGCCAGGATCACCAAAACGTTAAAAATACAGGATTTTCCAAGACATTTGGTGGAATAGGACGATAACACAGCTGTAGTCAGCAGCACTTGGCTTGGAACAGATATCCAAAGCCTGGAATGCCCTTCGCTGGGTTCCAGGCGGGGTGCCAGGGGTGATGCTGCTGAAGGACTCTGGGATCCGCGGCCCACGGACCCACGCGGTGCTGTCACCTCCTCCATGCCTCCCTCGCTGCAGGTGCTGCCTGCTGTGCTCAGAGGTGTTTTCTCCGTTCTTGCTGTTGGATGAGATCCCTTCAGTGGGCATATGTGTGCCACACGAGCACTTGGCATGGCCGTGTTCCCGTGACCGACACGGGACGCCCGAGCAGCGCCAGCACCCGGGGCCTGGCTGCCGTCAGCCACGGCCCAGCCCTGCCAGCACCGCTCTGCCTGGGCTGCAGGACGTGTTTGACTCCTTGTGCCAAACCTGGGAGGAGGAGGAAGAGGAGGGTGACACGGTTTCCCTCCCGTGACGGGGACATGCCTTCCAGCAGCTGTGCCAGAGGCGTGCGGTGCAGCAGCTTATCAACACAGCGTGTTTTCCTCCCAGACGAGTCCTCTGGCAGCGGACAAAGGAGAGCTTAAAAGCTGGCCAAGGGTCATTGTCAAAGGTCCTGCTTTCTCCAAATAATGTCACAAACTTAGTGCTCACATGGATGCTCTTGCAAGAGATTTCAGAAACTGGGAAAATTACCCAGCTCATAAAACTGGAAGTGTGGAAACCCTCAGCAAAGTGCAGGGACACTCTCCCACACCAGCCATGGCTGTGCAGCCCCTGTGGATCTGGGACCCACTCTGGAGGATGGGCGGCACCCACCTCCTGCACCCTGGGCTGGGGTCTGCAGTGAGCAGGGGGATCCAGGGAAAGAACCCCCAGAGTCCCCCTGGGGCTGCAGCAGCCCCCATTCAGGTTTCTTAGGGAGCTGTTGGATTCCCACCCGGAGCAGCAAAGGCTGCCTTGTGCCCCCACATCCTGACCCACCTGTTGAGTGTTCTGGAGAGGGTCCATGTGTATGGCAGGTGTGGGCTGTGCCCTGCCGAGTCGGGCACAGGCTGACAGAGGGCACCCACAGCAGGTGACCCTTGCAGAGGCTCCCCACGTGGGAGCCTGTTTTTTAATACTTCCTTGTTTATGAGTTTTTCTGTATAAACAGAACATGTGGTTCCTGTTTAAGGAGCTGGTAAAAGGCAGAACAAGGTTTAGTGTTACGGCCCCACGTGAAGGCGGGCGGCTGTGGAGCAGTGAGGCACACACAGGGCTGGAACCGGGGGGGTCCCTGGAAAGGGGTTGGCCCTTCCTGCCACGGGTGAGGCTCTGTGTGCCAGACACCCCCTCACCATGCGGTGTCACAGCTGCTGTGGCTGCTCTGGGCTGGTTTGCTGCTCTGGGCACCCGCCTGCTCGTGCTTCACCCCAGCAGGGCACGCAGGGCCTCTGTGCCATTTGTGGCTCCCACCACAGCATGCCAGGGCTGTGGGAGACCCACAGCCCACAGTCACCTGCTCCTTTGGGAATGAGCTGCCAGCCCAGGCAGCTGCAGCCCTGCCCTGCAGAAGGTTCTGAGGGCAGGGGGGATCGCATTGTGTGCCTGGGTATCGGGCTGTGCTGTGGTGGGGGTACCTTCACCAGTGCTTGGTTGTTGGCAGGAACAGGGGACCCCGGCTAGGAACTTAAGTGGGATTCCCATGGGGCCACTGGGACCTCATGTGGGGTTCCCACAGGGATGTGTGTGCACACCAGGACCTCATGCAGCACAATGTCCTGGATGGACATCGCTTGTGGCCAGCACAGCTGCCCAGCTCGGGCCTGGGGAGCTGCTCAGCTCTGTGAGGAGGGGCCAGCAGCTCGTGGCCGGGCTGTGAATCGTCCTGCCTGTTTGCACAAGCGCCAGCATGGCCATGGGGAGGTCAGGGGGCCCGGGGAGGTGCGAGCTTGTCGACTTGGTGTTTGGGGAGGGGGTCCCTGCCCTGCTTCCTGCTGAGAGCTTGATTAGATCCTCCTCAATTTACAGCCTTTGGCCCCCCGGTGTTTTCCTTCAGCCAGGGGGACCTGGTTTCCTTTTGAATGAAAGAGGGTTTTTTGAAATGCAAAATGCGTGAAGTTTTGCAGCCCTTCAGGAAGAGAAGGAAGCCCCTGGCCCGTGTGGGCTGTGGGGAGCCGGGGGTCTGTGCCATGTGGGCAGTGCTCAGGGAGAGCTGCTGCCCCGGTGTCACCAGCGTGTCATCCCAGTCAGGCTCTGGAGGGAGGGTGCCTGTGTGGCCATGGGTGCTGCCTGCAGGCAGGACATGGACCCCGTGGGCCTCTGCCCTTTCCCACGCCGCACTGTGCTCTGCTGTGGTCCGGGGAAGACCGGGAGCCAGAGCTCAACTTGTTTCCCAGCTCTGCCACCATTCTGTTTCCCAGGATGAGTCAGAGTCCCTGCGGGCAGAGCCCTGTCCCTCCAGGGTCACTGTGCTGCCTGTCGCTGTTCTCCCACCCTCCCGGGTGCTCGGAGCAGGCGCAGCCCCGCACATGGGGCACCCAGCACAGCTCCTGCCAGCCCAGGCGTCCCCCAGGGTGCACAGCCAGTGGTGGGGGTGAGGGGGGCTCGGCTCCCTTGTTCCTGAGCACAGCAGGACTAGAGGAGAACTGGGCTAAACCAGCTGAAAAGCACCCTGGCTCCTAGCGTGAGTCAGGGCCATGTGTGGAAACAAGAGAGTCCTTGAGCATGTGCCTGGGGCCATTGCGGGAGTCTGGAGGGGCCGAGCTCACCCCGAGGTGGCTGCAGTGTCACCATGAACAACGAACCCTGTGTGGGCTGGAGGCCGCGGGCGTGGGGGCACAGAGGCACTGCTGGGTCTTACCACCACCCCTGCTCACTCAGGTCTTGCTGGAGGCTGGGAAACAGCCACGGAACTGGGACTGGATTACCCGGCCCACAAAACGCTCTGGTAGTCGCAGGGACAAGCAGCTGCCTGGGCTTTGTCACTGTCAGCCCAGGTGCAGAGCGATGAGACACAGTGCTCTGGGCCAGACTCTGCCTCACCCTCTTTGGGGCACAACCAGGAGCCCCTGGGGTGGTGGGAGAACTCTGGGCAGGCAGCAGAGAGGAGGGTGGCTGTGATGGCTTGCTGGGGTCAGCGGGGCCCTGCTGGGACACGAGGCTCACCACGTGTCCCACAGGTGCTGGGTGACATGGACCAGGTCAGGATGACCTCGGAGGGCTCCGACTGCCGCTGCAAGTGCATCCTGCGGCCGCTCAGCAAGGACGCCTGCAGCCGCGTCAGGAACGGCAGCGCGCGCGTGGAGGATTTCTACACGGTGGAGACGGTGAGCTCGGGGGCCGACTGCAGGTGCTCCTGCACCGCGCCCCCCTCCTCGCTCAACCCCTGCGAGAACGAGTGGAAGATGGAGAAGCTGAAGAAGCAGGCGCCTGAGCTCTTCAAGGTACCTGAGGCATGGTGGGACTGGGGGCCAGACACACCCTCCCCACACTGCCCAGCCCTGTCCCCTGTGCCCCAGCCCTGCCCCGTGCCCCAGCCCTGTCCCCTGTGCCCCAGCCCTGCCCCGTGCCCCAGCCCCTTGTCTCAGCCCTGTCCTGTGGCCCATCCTTGCTCTTCCTCTGCAGCTGCAGTCCATGGTGGACCTGCTCGAGGGAACGCTGTACAGCATGGACCTGATGAAGGTGCACTCCTACATCAGCAAGGTGGTGGCCCAGATGAACACACTGGAGGAGGTGAGCTCTGGCAGCACCACCTCTGCATCCCCAAGCTCCTCAGGACTTTCTGGGTGTGCCATGGTTCCAGCCTCTCCTCTCCTGCAGACCATCAAGACTAACCTGAGCAGGGAGAACGACTTCATGAAGGAGAGCGTCCTGCACCTCACCAACCAGATGAAACGCTACGAGAACTACTCTGACATCATGCTCAGCATCAAGAAGGAGATCTCCAACCTGGGCTACCAGCTGCTTCAGAAGGACGCAGCTGCCGTCCCCGAGAGCAAGGCACAGGTACCCTGAACCACAGGTACCCCCAGCCATGGGTACCCCGGGGCCCGGCCCCGCAGGTGCAGGTGCAGGTGCACCGCCGGTGCTGCCTGGCAGAGCTGAGCTCCCCAGGCTTCTGGCAGTGCACCCCTGGCAGCCAGGGGCTGGTGGCTGTGCCCACTGCCTGCCTCGGTGGCAGCAGGGAAGTGGAGGGGTGGGAGGGGAGGGGGTCTGACAGGCTGTGCCCCCCAGGACACGGCAGGCGGCCGAGAGAAGGAGGCGGGGCGGTACCCCAGCACCCGCAAGGCACTGGGGGACAAGGCGGCCCCCCGAGCGCCCAAGGAGAAACCACTGAAGCCTGAGAAGCCCAAAAAGGAGAACAGCAAGGCCAGGGCAGGGTCCCAGCCCACAGCCAAGCCCAAGCCCCTGGCGCACCAGCAGACCGTGGTCCGAGGCATCACGTACTACAAGGTGGGGCAGGCGGGAGCGGCGGAGGGGCCGGCCGGCAGCCGCGGTGAGTCCCGGCGGTGGGGCACAGGTGGGGGCATGGGAGCACCCTCCCACCGAGGCAGAGGGCCTGGGGCTGCCCCTGCAAATGCACTGACTCCCAGCTCGTCCCCCCACAGAGAGCCCTGCAAGGGGGGCAGCTGTGCCGGAACAGCAGGAGGAGAGGGGTCCCCCTCTCCCCCCAGCTGAGGGCACCCCAGCCCAAGCTGTTGCACAGACAGAGACCGCCGTGCCCAGCACCACAGCTGCGCCCAGCACTGCCCCGGCCCCCCGCAGCACCACCCGCAGCCCCCCCAGCCCCCTTGGGCAGGGGGATGACAGCACTGGGGACCCTGAAACACCAAACAGAGGTGGGTGAGTAGGGGGCAGCTGGGAAGGGACACCCAGCCCTGCAATCCCAGTGCCCGTGGCCAGGCCAGGCCAGCAATAGCCATGCCATGGGAAGGAGGAGGAGGCAGCTGCCCAGGGCAGGGATAAGCCCTCGTCCTTCTCCTCCTCCGTGGTACCCAGTGAAGGAGGTGGAGTGCGAAGGCACCATCGAGTCGGTGGAGCCTCCTGTGGAGCACCACAGCTACGGGCGCAACGAGGGGGCCTGGATGAAGGACCCGGCAGCCAAGGATGACCGTATCTATGTCACCAACTACTACTATGGGAACAGCCTGGTGGAGTTCAGGAGCCTTGACAACTTCAAGCAGGGTGAGGGTCAGCAGCTGAGTGGGTGCAGGGTCAGCTCCTTCTGGGTGGGTGCCCGGTGCTGTGTGACACCGGCTGTGCCAGGCCCTGGGGCAGTGGGCAGCTCATGGGGACCTGCGCTGGGGAGCACCCACAGGGCAGTGAGGGGGACACAAGTCCCCTGCCACTGCCAGCACACTCGGGCCATTGTGCATGGGACCCCAGTGCTGCAGCGGGTCCCAGCGCCTCTCCCGCCCCCTCACAGGCCGCTGGAGCAACCTCTACAAGCTGCCCTACAACTGGATCGGCACCGGGCACGTGGTGTACCAGGGGGCCTTCTACTATAACCGTGCCTTCACCAAGAACATCATCAAGTATGACCTGAAGGAGCGGTACGTGGCGGGCTGGGCGCTGCTTCACGACGTGGTGTATGAGGACACGACGCCCTGGAAGTGGAGGGGCCACTCAGACATTGACTTTGCTGTGGATGAGAGCGGGCTCTGGGTTATCTACCCGTCCGTGGACTATGACTACTCGCAGCAGGAGGTGATCGTGCTGAGCCGACTCGACCCCGGGGACCTCTCGGTGCGCAAGGAAACCACCTGGAAGACGGGGCTGAAGCGCAACACCTACGGGAACTGCTTCATCATCTGCGGCATCCTCTACGCTGTGGACACCTACAGCCAGAAGGAAGGGCAGATCTCCTACGCCTTCGACACGCACACGAACACGGAGGCAGAGCTCCGACTGCCCTTCCTCAACCACTACTCCTTCACCACGCAGGTTGACTACAACCCCAAGGAGAAGGTGCTCTACGCCTGGGACAATGGCCATCAGATGACCTACGGGCTCCACTTCGTGGTCTGAGCACCCAGGCGGTCCCATCCGCACTCCTGTGCCCACCCTCTGCTGTGCCTGGCTGGGGCACCCTCACACAGCCTGGGCCTGGCACCCCGACCCCAGCTGGGCCAGGGCTGTGGACAGCCCAGCTTCCACCCCAAACCCCTCCCCATCCACTGTGCCCGTCACCTGCACTGTGCCCACTGCACTGCGGGGCAGGGAGTGCAGGTGAGCACAGCCCCCAGCTGACACCCCCACGACAACGTGGCCCCCGGGGCCACGGCAGCTCGGCTGGCATCGCCTTCCTGGGGACGCAGAGAGGAGCCCAGCCCCACGTCCCTCCAGCACCGCTGGCACCGCGGCAGCACCCGCCCCGTACCACTGCACTGAGCACCCACTGCACTGCACCCAGCCGAGCCCCCTCCCTGCACACCCCCTGGGACCGCGCGTGCCGGGACAGCCCCGTGCCCTGGCCTGTGCCCAGCCCTGCGGGGCAGGCAGGGCCTCTGGGAGCCAGGCACGAGCAACAGGTGCCGGTTGCTATTTTAGGAAATGTGGTTAAGATGCCCTTGCTTTTGCCGCTCATTAGCTTGTTATTTAAACGCATTCACTGGAGCTCTCTGAGGCCCCTTGGGCAGCTGGTGCAGAGGAGCCTGCCCGTAGCACCGGGGTGTCCTGCCCGCACACCTGCCCGCACACCTGCCCGCACACCTGCCTGCAGCAAGCCCTGGGCAGGGGAGCCCGCGGCCCTCCCGCTCTCCAGGTGAGGCAGGGCAAGGGGCTGCGGGCGCTTGGCTTGGTTTTGGTCATTTTAGACGTGAACAGTATTAAAACATAACAGATGTGAAAACGGGCTGCATGTGCTGTCGTTTGTCCTGAAGCGGGGCAGGGAGGAGGGGCAGGGCAGCCCCATCCCTCACTGTCCTTGTGCCTCACCATCCCTGTCCCTCACTGTCCGGTCCCACGGCCAGGCGTGCCCAGGGGTTGCTGTCACGCGTGGCTGCTGTTTACCGCACTCCTGGCAGGCACAGCTCCCCACACCGAGCCCGGAGGGACACCCCACATCCCCCCGGCAGCACCAGCACGATGCCACAGCAGCACAGTGGCAGGCGGGTCCCAGGGCAGAGCCAGGGCAGCAAACGCTGCTGGGTCCGGGGGTAAAGGGAATTTGGCATCGCCCAGCCCGAGCTGCAGCCCAAGAGCCGCCGGGAGCCGAGCCCCGCTGCTGGAGAGCGGAGTAGCTGAGCGTGGGCACGGCGGGAGCAGCTGCCCCGGCGCTGCTGCACAGCTTGGCAAGCGCGGAGCTGCCGGGGGCCCCGGGTGAGAGCAGCCCCCGAGCCCAGCGCCCTCCCGTCCCCGTCCGTGCGTGCGAGGGCAGCCTGCCCTCGGCCCCGCCGAGCCCCGCACGCAGGCTGGTGGTCCCGGGCTCGGTGCCGCGGAGCCAGGCGGTGTCCCGGGACGCGGAAATGTTTTCCCCCTGCAAAGACCTGAAGCCGGTGCCAGGCGTGGGCAGCCGGGCACCCCCTTCCCTGGACCCACGCTGCTCCAGGTGCTGCTCTGCACCAGCCGCCCCTGCCCCGCCTCGGCCCGGACCCCGCACCAGCGCTGCGCTGCTCCCCTCGCTTGGCCGCGAGTCCTCGCCACAGAAAGGAACCGGCCGACTTTTCCCCCCGGGCTGGGTCCCTGCCAGGCTTTTATCCAGCGATCCCCAGCAAATCCCTGTCCAAACAATACGGATTTCTGACATTTTTCTGTGGTAAAGTAAACTCCCAGCACATCTCTAATTCCAGGGCTTTGTTGTTCTTCCGCAGGGGCTGCCGTGGCTCCGTGCTGCGCAGGGATGGGCTGCAGTCGCCCCTCTGCTCCCCTCGGTCAGAAAACATGGGAATGGAGGAATGAAACCTGCGTGGTCAGAGGACTACGTTGTGTTGGGTCGTTTGGGCTGCCGCAGGGACATTCAGCCCCATCAGCCCCTTGTGAGCTGATCCTTGTCCTGGCACCCATTCCCAATGCCTGGTCCTGGTCTCTGGTCCCAAGTCCTGCTCCTGGTGCAAGTTCCAGTCTCAGGCAGGACAAGGCAGGCTGGGGAAGATGGGGGTCCCCAAGCAGTACATGGTGGGGACATGTGGGTGGGGGCAGGATGGGCTCCCACCGCGACGGGCGCTGCTGACTTCCAGACATTCCTCCTGTGCGTGGCCGGCACCACCTCGGCTCATAACGTGATTAAAAGATTAAAATCTCTCAGTTCAGCAGCAAGCAGCAAATGAAGCTTGAGACAGGGATGCTGGGGGGCTGTGGTGCCCAAGGGCCCCGTGACAGCAATGTGGCGCCTGGGAAGGGCAGACGAGGCCACTGGGCAGGTGGCTCTGGTGCCGCAGCCCTCACTCCCAAAATCCCCTCCCGCGGGCATGGCTGCCCTCGGTGCAGCCAGGCAGTGAGCACTGATCCCCCCTACCTCCTTCTCAGTTACTGGCTGGGCTGGTTTGTTTGTGGTGGTTTTGCCTCATTCCTGGCCCCGCTGCCCAGGCTGGCGTCCTGCTCTCCCCACGGTGCCGGCCCAGCACAGAGCTGCCTCGGGGCCGAGGTGAGCCAGAGGCGGCCAGCCTTTGGGTGGGCAGGATGTACAGCAGGCAGGGCACGGTGCCAGGGGACATTCTGGCCAGAGCCTGTCCATGGCTGCAGCCTGTTGGCACCTGCTGGGGGTACACCAAAACCTCGGTCCTGTTCCACCCCAGGAGCCGCCTCCACCCTTATCCCCTGCAGCACAGCTGTCCAGGCACAGACAGGCTCCAGGACCAGGGGCTCAGCAGAGACGTGGTGCCCAGCCACACCACTAGCCTGTTGGCAAACCCAGCAGTCCCCAGGTCCTCCATGGGGAACAGGAGGCTCAGTCCCAGTGCCACAGCCCTTGTTCTGTGTACCCCCCATGCCTGCACTGGGACGTGTTTGGTGGGAGATCACTGGTGCCTCCAGAGGCCCTGCTCGGTGCTGGAGATCTGCAGGGCGACGCAGGGATGTGAGGCGATGTAGAGCCACAGGTGCCAAGGCTGACAACCCTGGGCAGCTGTGGGAAAGGGCTGGGCAGCGGGTGGTGGGCGGTGGCGGTGGCCGGAGGGAAGGGAGGGGACCCACGGGCCTTGGCGGTGCCGCTGCTGACTCACTCACCAGTGGAAACAGAAATCTGTTCCCAGGCTTGCTGCTGCCAGCTCCACAGCACCCCAGCCCCTGGCACAGCAGCCCCTCAGAGTGGCAGGGGGCACCTGCAAACACCCCTTCCCCAGCAGCACCCAGGACACAGCAAGGCAGAAGGAGAGGGCTGCCCACAGGCCGCTCTCGTGGCCGGGTTCTGCTCAGCCCGACGCAGAGGCTTTGTCCACCTCCCTGCAGATGCACAATCCAGCTGGCTGGGGGCCAGGAGCCCCAGCACACAGCAGCCCCTGTCCCGGGGAGCCCCAGGGTCACCTCTGCCTGGGAGCCCCCAGGACAGCGGGTGCAGGGCCCTGCAGTGCAGCGCTTATGTCCAGACACTGCCTGCATTCATGGAGCAGCAGGGCCAGGGCAGTGTGGGGGCCAGTCCTGCCCCAGCCTGGCCTACAAAACGGGCATTCAGGGCCGGGCGCAGGCGGCTGCCCCGGGCAGATCTGGGCCATCTGCGCCGCCGGCGGGACACGGCATGTCCCTGCCAGGCTGGGTGCCCACAGCGTGGGGCTTGTGGTCACACCAGGTGTGCCAGGCGCTGCTCACACGCAGCCGTGCAGGCCCAGCTCTTCCCAGCACGTGGAGGGCAGCGGGCAGTGCAGCAGGGCATGGCCAAGGGCACCAGGACTTGCCCAGGGTGGTCGCTCCCAAGTTCCCTGCCCTGAACAGCACCTTGTGTGTCCATATCCCATCTCCACACATCCTGCTGCATGCAGAAATGGGGTCAGCCCCCAAGGTAGAGCTCAGGAGAGCAGTCAGGGCCACCCCATTAGAGGGAGGTGACAGGAGCAATGCCGGGAGCATTAGAAGAGCTGGGGTTTGTGTCCATTGCAGCAACACCAGCCAAAGGAGGTGGGACCTGAGCTTTCATCAGCAATGCTAAGTTTATGGCTGAACAGTCTTTAGGGTCTTTTCCAACTTAAATGACTCTGATTCCATGACTTGTATCTCCCTCTGCCCCCTCTGCAGGTCCCCCATGCCCTCAGCCCCTGCCCCAGCTGCAGGATGGGGTCCAGGAGCAGGAGCTGCCAGCTCCCACGGACACCATCCGCTCTGGGCCGTGCCCGCTGTGCTGGGCAGAAACATCTGGTGCTGCTGAACATGTTCCAGGGCACAGGGCCAGGGCTCCCCCCGCAGCGCCACCAGCCCCGGGCTGTGCCCCGCAGCCAGCCGGCAGCTGCGCCTCCGTCCTCCTCCCTGCCCGGGAAATTATTTATTTGCTGAGGAATGGCTTTTCCCAGGAAGCTGCTCCAGTGCCGAGGGACATCTTCAGTTACGAGGAACAAATAAACAGTGTGAGCCTCCGAGGCCCCCACGCTCTGCAAACACCAGTGCTAAACCCAGGGCCGGCACCGGCAGCTGCGCGGGGTCAGCGCCGGGGAGCGGGGTGTCCCCCAGGACAGGCTTCAGGAAACCCACCCCACACCCCCAGCACTGTGCCAGAAGGGGACAGGGGCCACACCGCCTGCAGTGACACTGGGGTGATGCTGTGTGGTCCCCTCAAAGCCAGCACAGCACTGGAGTGTTCTGGGGAGTGTGTGGCCCTTTGCTGGGGGTTCTGCCACTGGGCACCCCTCCCTTTGGGAATCAGCAAGGCTGGAGAGCCTATGCTCAGCCCCAATAGCAGCAGCTTGTGCCAGGGAGCTGGGGCAGCACAGCCATCCTCTGGGGCCAGCTGGTAAAGTGGGAACCAGCACAGATCACTGGAGACACGGCCAGAACAGGCCAACAAGAACAAGCATCTTCACCCGTGCCCTGGAGGGAGCTCATCATTTCACCTGTGTGTCCACTCAATCCGTGTGTTGTTCCTGGTCACTTAAAGGGCTCTTGTCTGGGGGATGTGTCCCGTAACAGCACAGGGCTGTTCTGATGGAAGGGCCGGACTGGTCGGTTTTGCCATCTGGCTACGGGTGGATGGAGTAATTCAGCCCCAGGATTTAGTGCCAGAACCTGTTCATCTCCTCAAATGGCTGCTGTGGGCTGTGCACAAAGCCTGAGCTGTTCTCCCATACTGCTCCTGCTTCAGCACAGGATGGCTCCTGGATTTTCAGTGCCTGCTAATTAGCTGGAGGTTCTTCCCCATTTTTTTCCCCCTTGTTACTGGTTGGCACTCAGTGATCTGTACTGTGACTGAATCCTGGAGACAGCAGATCCTCTCTCGGCTGCTCCTGTGGCTGGGGTGGAAGGTGACACCTGGAGCACACCCTGACACTGTCACCGGACTCTGCAGCGCACAACTCGTGCCATGTTTGCTTTGCCATGTTGGGAATGGTGGCAGAGCCATCAGGCTGCCAGAGCAGCACAGGGCACACCTCTCTAAAGAGAAGCCCAAATGCAGCCGGGCATGATCTGGCAGAAGCCACCTGCCCCAGCCTGCCCCATTCCCAGCACAGGGGACCAGCCCCTCTCCTGTCTCCTTTGGGCATCAGGCTCCTGGGGCAGGAATGTGATTTCGGGGATCCTCACAGGGCTGTGCTCCTGATTCTTGGGGGCCACATGAGCTGGGCAGGCAGCTTGTGCTCGTCGTGGAGCAGCTCAGGGCTGGCCACAGCAGGATATGCAGAGCTGCAACACAAAGCCATTTGTAACCCTGCCTGCCTTCCTGGGAATACGGCGCGAGCCAAGGAGCCAGTTCCCACACGCAGCACGCTGTCCTACGGCACGCTCTGGCAGCCTGGGCACAGCGCTGTGCCAGCCCAGGTCCCCTTCACTGCCAGACACGTCCCAGCTCACCCCGAGCTCCCAACAAAGCCCTGGCACAGCCCTGGTGACATCACGGAGCTGCCACTCCTCACAATGCCGCCATGTAGGGGAAATTCCCTGAACCGCAGGCAATTAGGCCTCTCTTCACAAAACTTGCTTGAAACTTAAAAACCCTTCATTAAGTGAGCAGAATTAAGATCTTTTCCCTGAACAGAATCTGGATCCCATCTAGGAACTCCCTAATGGGTAGGGAATTTTTCACGTTCGAATGCGTTGGCTGCACTAACACAAACCAGGAGTGCTGAGCCCTCACGCTCCAGCAGCACTGCACAACTCCCTCACAGCAGAACCAAAAAAGGTCTTTGGGACTGCAACTCCATCCTGAGTCCCAAAGAACTCCTTGAGGGACAAAGTGAAGGCATTTAACCCTTGCTGAGCTTTGCAGGTGGAAGTGTGGAACTGTGAGGCCAGGGATGCCCTGGGGATTCAGAGATGCCACCCCTGGAGCTTGGTGTCCTGAGCTCACCTGCCCTCATCAGTGCCCACACCCAGGGAGAGCACCTGGGCTGAAACTACGGCCCCCAAGGGGGTTCTTGGGGCCTACAGTGAGTTGGCCAGAGATCCAAACCAAGTGCTGACAGAATCCTTCAGGTTCCCTGAAGATCCCTAAAGCCTCTCAGCAAATTTGTTTATTTCTGTTAACACTTAAACACTGGCACAGGACAGAACTTTAAATATTTACTCTTAAGGTACTGAAGTGACAGATATTGACTGACTGCAAACATCTGTGAAAAACTTCCATTCTAAATCAATCTCAGGTTAAATTATTTTCAGATGCCAAGCTGAACAAACCTCACAGATCTGGACCCCACTGCCTGCTCCACAAAGAGGAAAATAAACTGCTAGCTCTGTATTTTCAGCAGCAAACACACTTTCTGCGAATCCTCCCATGTCCCTCCACAAAGCTGAGGACTCCTTTACCCACCAGTGCAAAAAACCACCAGTGACACTTGCAAAGCAAACTGCATTTAATGAGCCCCGGGCTACGCCTTGATGGCGAATTTCCGGGCCGGGTACAGCCGCTCCTTCCGCTGCTGCTTCTTGGTCTTGAGGTTCTCCTCGTGCTTGTTGAGCCGGCGCCGCATGGCCCGGGTCTTCTTGGGCCGCAGGTCCAGGGGTTTGTACTTCTTGCCCTGTTTGCAAAGACACAAAACAGAAGAGTTCAGACCCTGCTCTCAGCGCCCAGCACCTGCCAGGGCATCAGCACCCTGTTTAAACCTCTCTCCCTTGGGACCATCATCCCAGTCTGGAGGGCTGAGAGACCTTCTCTCTGCCAGGAACAAGAGCTGATTGTAACTTTTGCAGCAGTTGTACCTGCTTTGACTCAAGTTTAAGCAGTGCTTCATCTTAAGTCCCAGTTACCCAACACTTCTTGTAAAATTCTTTTTTTTCCCCTGCCCTATCTGGTGTCATTTAAAGCCCAGAAAATAGTATTGCAAGAACTTCTTGAGGGAAGAAGCTCCTTGGCCACCTGAAACATGAATTTAAATTTAGATTAAAAGAGCATCTGCATTTCTGCAAACTGCACCTCTCAGGAAGCTCATCACACCCCAAAGGCATGCTGCCAGGAGACTCCTGGCAAAACCAGACTCACATCCAGCTTGCAGAATTCTGGCAGTAAGACGTAAAAAGGAATCGTGACGAGAGAACTTTAAAACTGAACACAAATGAGCGTTTCTTACTGAGTTTTAATCTTTAAAACAGCAACCTACAAAACCAGTTCCTTCCCACAAACTGCAATTGAGAACAGCAAGAGATAACAGGTCAGTGTGGAAGGTGTCTGTCCTCACCTTGTAGAACTTCCTCAAGTTCTCCTTCTGTGTCTGGTTGATGACAGTCAGCACTCTGGCGATGGATTTACGCACCACGCGGCTGCAGAGAGACAGAGACCCGTGTGAGGACACGGATCCCGACAGTGCACAGAGCCGTGTGCTCCACCAGCCAGTCCTGCACCAGGTACAGCGATACCAGCCCCTCCCGGCTCCTCCCCGCTGCACCACCTGCCCTCCGAGCAGAGACGGATGGGTCCCGGGCCTGCAGAGCTGCTCCCCTTCCCCGCCGTTTATCCCCCCGGCACACTCACATCTTGGACAGCTTGGACGCGGCCCCGCCGGTCACTTTGGCCACGCGCAGCTGCGACAGCTCCACCTTCAGATCGTCCAACTGCTTCAGCAGCTCCTCCTTCTTCTTCCCGCGCAGGTCCCGGGCCTTGATCTTGGCCTGCGGGAAGAGCCCTCAGTGCCCCCGGCCCCGCTCCCGCTGGGATGCGGGCAGATCCAGGTGCCGGCTCCCGGTGAACCCCCATCCCCGGCCCCGTTCCCGGCGGATGCCGGTGGATTCCCGTTCCCGGCCCCGCTCCCAGTGGATTCCCGGCAGATGCCCGCTCCCCGTCCCCGTTCCCGGCGGATGCCGATGGATTCCCGGCAGATGCTCGCCCCCGTCCCCGTTCCCGGCGGATGCCGGCGGATTCCCGGTGGATTCCCGGCGGGTGCGCTCCCAGCTCTCTCACCATGGCGGCGGCGCGGGCCGGAAGGACGGAAGTCGCGGAGGGACAGGGGCGGTGCCGCGGCCGGGCCGTACCAACGAGGCCCGGGCGGGGGGAGCAGCCCGCGCCGCGCTCCCCCCGCGGGCCGCGCAGTGGAGCGGGCCGGGGCGCTGACAGCGGCCCCGGGCGCGGGGGCTGCGGCCCCGCGGGAGCGGTGCCGGGCCGGCCCGAGCTGCAGGCGCCGCCGCCGCCCTCTCCCGGCCGCCGGAGCCCTGGCGGAGCGCAGCCGGTGTTCCTGCGCTGGCCGAGGTGCGGCACTCTCACACCGGCAGCGGTGGGGACGTGACGGCGGGCGGGGCGGGAGCGGGCGCCGCGACGGAGCGGGACAGGATCAGGATCAGGGGCAAGGCCGTGCGCGCAGGCGGCCGTGCAGCACACATGACACACACGCACGGGCTGACAGGCGGCCGGGCAGCCGGTGCCGGTGCCCGCGGTGCCGCCGCCGTTTCCAGGCAGCCGCCGCGCCTCACCGGCCGCGCGCGGGAGGGCGGGGCCTCGCGATTGACGGCGGGCGCGGCCAATCAGAGGGCTGGCTCGCCGCCAGCCCGGGCGCTCGGCCAATCGGCGCGCGCGGGGGCGGGGCCGGCTGGCGCGGACCGGCGTGATACGGCAGCCGCGCTCCCCGAGCCTCGGCGGCGGCGGCGGCGCTGCGGCCGCGCCCGCACCGGCACCGGCAGCGGCAGCGGCAGCCGCGGGGGCGGACGGTGAGCGGGGCTGCCCGGCAGCGCCTGCCCCGCTCCGGCACGGCCTCCAGGTGCGGGGGGCGGAGCGGCGGCGCAGGCGGGAGCGGGGCGCGGGCGGGGCGGCGGCGGGGGCGGGCGGGAGCGGCGGCGGCTGCGGGCGCCTCGGGGCAGGCCCGGCGGCGGCGCCCCCTCAGCGCGGTGTCGCCCCCGCAGAGCCCCGGGCCCGGCGGATCAGCCCCGCCGCGAGCGGGAGCACAGGTAAGGCGGCAGGTGCGGGCGGGGCCGCGCGGAGCGTCCGCGGTGGGTCCGCGGTGCGGGGTCCGCGGTGCGGGGTCCGCGGTGCGGGGTCCGCGGTGCGGGGGCTGCGGGGCCGGGGTGCGGGGGGCCGTGCGCCCGCTGCCTCTGCCGCTGTCGGGGAGCGGGAACGCGATGTGACACGTCTAATGCTTAGGCCTGGATTGGCGACGTAGCTGAAATAATTGCCTGAACGACCCCCTCTTTATTAACTTCTCCACTCTCCGCGCTCCCCTCCCGCTCGCTCCGGGCGAGGCTGAAGGTGTTGAGCCTGCCCGTGGCAGGTACCTGCATCCAGCGTCTGCAAACGAATCCGGTGGGACGGAACGGTGCGGGATTTTACAGGGGCAGTCCGTGCAGTGCTGGATACCCAAATTGCAGGTTTGATGGAATCATTGGGGGTTTGTTCTGATTTTAAACTTTTATTGCGGCAGGTCCCTCTCCACCAAATTCTTTTTTTGTACGGAGAAATTCTGTGGACAATAGGTGACGTGAGATGCCCTTGGGGACACAAGCTGGATGGTTATTATGTTGTGTCATATCCCCAAATTTCTTGCCCTATTAAAATGTCCATAACCAAAGGCTGTTGCAGGTAAAACGTTCAGGATCAAGACTGCAGGTTTTCAGCTCTAGGTCTGATCTCCCACCACAGAATAGGAGCTGTTATTGTTGAAGTCTGAATTGCTCCTTTCATTTAATAACCAGGCTCCAAGCTTCCATGCCTAAGCTGTGTCTGGGCTAAGAAATTCTAGTCCTCCAACCTGCAAAATGGATCCCTTAATGTAAAAAATCTGTAGGTTTTGCACAAGCTGTGCAAACACAACCTGTAATTCATGGCATCTCGTCCAAGCTAATGCAAAGCAGCGCTGTGGGACCATATGATGACTAAAATGTGAGTGTGTCTCCCAGCATGTGTGTGCTTCCCACTGCTCCTGTGAGCTGCAGGGCTGCCGGGCGGGTGGCAGCCTTTGGAAGTCGGGGAGGATCATCCCGGTGTGGATGCTGCTGTGGGAATTTTTCAGGTGCAGTCCCTGCCTGGTGTCTCTCACCTCACCTGAACCCGTGGCGTGGCGGCTGTGCCGTCCCTGGCCCAGGCTGTCAAGGGAGCAGTTCAGGAGCCCGACTGTCAGTCGTGCGTGTAGAAAAAAGATCCTTCGTTTTCGAATCAGATTAAGTCAGTCTCTTTTAAGATGTTGGGATAAACTGGACCATAGTTTATGTTGATTGAAAGAAACAGTCACTTCACCAGGAGCAAAGAGTGTAATTCTGGGCTGCCAAAGCACTACAGGCAGTGCACACAAATGTGATGGCCAGGTTATTTACTGCAGGAAATAGAAGAACCATTCATAGAAACTGTATGGAGAGAAGAAATATTTTATTGTGCTGCAAAGGAGATTGTGATCATTGTTTTATTTCAAAATATAAGTACAATACGGCATCAAAATTCCTTTGGCAATCCAGGCTCCTTAAAACACGGGGGATTTTAACACAAAGATGTCTAGTTGGACTTAGCTCTGTGTGTAAGAATGATACTGTGTTCTGTGCTCATCATGCTCTATTGAGAAACTTGATCTACAAGTGATAAAGATGCTGGAAGTGCTTTCCAGTGGGAGGAACACGTAGCTTGCCTGTATTGTTATTAATTTCTGTGTCCCTGTTTTGTTTCACGGAGGCAAGTAATAAAAACGGAGCGTACCGATTCAGAACATCGAGAAGCTTCTAATCCAAGGCAGTTCTGCATTGAAATCAGCTGGTGGTGTCCATAGTGTTGCACTGGGGGCACAGATTTGGGGAGGGGGGAGCTGGGGCTGCAGCTCTCCCTTGCTGCTGCCAGTGCTGTTCCTGTCACATGCTGCAGTTGCACAGTCCCCTGCTCGCACTGCAGCTGCCTCGCTGCCGTGTGCCACTCACATCTCCCCTCTCCTTGCATCACTTGTATTCTGGTTTAGCTCTGTTGGCTTTAAATGGAGTTGATGATGTGCTGCGGCACAGATGGAGAATGGGAATTCATTGGATCATCTGGACACGTTACTTTGTTGGCTTATCTCTTATTCTGCACAGTGTGCTTTGGGCAAGGAAGAGCTCTGGTGTGAAGGTCTGTTCTGAGGTGGTCTTACTGCCCAAAGGGCTGAAACGGAACTGATTTTAAACAAAAAACCTCCAGTGCCCCCCTGCCAGCCCTCAAAGCAGACTGCAGCTCTTGGAGTCTCAACTTGGGTGTTGATGGCTTTTTTCACAGAACTTTTTGCAGTTCTGATTTTTTCATAGAAGTGTTCTGTTGGAGCGATCTTTGTAGAAGGAAAATCAAGACCTGTACATGCAGGTTTTCTAATAATTTTGCTTGGTGTTCTTGCGTAAGAACATTCTGCAGGCTTGGCTTTTGTAGCTGACCTGCTCTCCTTTAGCACAAAAACTCTGTTCTGGATATGTAGGTTTTAAACAGGCTGGAAACAGAGGTATGGAATGGGGTATGTATTGCAGCAGGAGGAAACAGTTCAAAGGAGTGGACCAAATTGTGTGTGGGAGCTGCACAGAGGGTCAAATGGAGGTCTGGTTCTGTAAAGTATGTAAGGAGGTTGCCAACACAAATATTACCTTGCAGTTTACATGTGCTGAGAGAACGCAGCACAGCCCTGCAGCAGGGATGGAACAGAGTAACCATCAATCTGGATCCCTGAGGATGTCAGTCAGGAAAGGAAGTGTGTGATGGCAGAAAGCCTGGATGGAACTGCAGGTTTAGACGACTTGTTGGTTGAAGTATTTTTAATTATTGCTATTAATATAATGGAACACAGAGTGGAGGCTGAATTTTTAAAATATAATTAAAGCAGAAGTCAGCAGAGGGATTTCTCTGCTGTGAAGCAGAGGCATGGTCCAGCAGCAGTCTGCTCAGGAGGGTGAATTCCCGGAGTGATGATATTCCCCGTGCAATTCCCAACCTTGCTGGCAGCTCCCGCCAAGCACTGGCTGGGAGGGAAGAAGTGAACTGAAGGGATCAGAAGGCTTTCCCAAGCTTGTCCTGCATTTTCCTTTGTCGGAGTATGATTCCAGTTGGAAGGCAGCCATTGGCACCTTGGCCAGGGATGGGAACAGGCTGCAGAGTGTGGCGAGAGCTGCCCTCCAGATTGGGCACTGGCCTCAGCTGCCATCCGGGCCGGCCAGTAAATCATTGGCTCGCTGGAAAGGAGCCTCTCTGTCACATTGCTGTACAATGCAGCTTGATGTTTGCTGTTCCATTTTGAATTGGTGAATTAAACTCTTTAAAAATGAATGAAAGAGTTAAAACAACAGTCGTTGGAGGAAAGAAAAAAAAATCTTTCTCGCAACTGGGATGCTTTTCAGGAACTTGGCTGCTCGGGAGGCGAGAGCCATGTGCTTTTCCGCCCTGCTCTAGGTGATGGCTTAGTTCAAGGGGGCCCAGATTTGGCTCAGTCAACAGTTGTGTTGGCGTCTTGCCATCAAATGTGCATAAAATGGAGCTGACTGCAATTCCCTCCTCACTCCAACATGGAGGGGCAGCCGGAGAGACCCGAGGCCCGCGATGCCGTGCCGTAGGTTGGCTTGGGTTACCCTGAGGTGCGTGATCCCTGCAGCACAAGCTGTTGCACTGTGACTGGATCCTTGCTTTTGAGTCCCTGGGTTGTATTTTGGTCTCTTGTCATAGCTAATGCATTTCAGACCTGCTTGTGCCTCTGCTCCCAAAATCTCTCTCCCTTCTCACAGTGCCTTACGTGCTTTTCCAGCTGTACGGGGTTCATCTCTCATTTGCAGACTCTTCCTATGGTTCTGTGGCTTATGTGCATTACCACAAAATCAAGATAAAACACAACTGGCATTTTAGCTGCTCCAAAAACACTGTGTGTAAATAAACCACTAAATGGTTCGGCCTGTGAAATGTAAATACACACAGCTCACTGCCACAGCTGATGGTGTTTTTCTGTCTCCCTTCTACCCTCCCACCCTGCCAAGAGTGGGCCAGCCTGATGTTCTTTTTTCTCTTGCTCTTTCATACAATTCAAATGACTGCTAAGTACCATGTAGGTGGTATGCAGGCACCACGACAGATTCATGATTTCAATTTGGGTAGAAGGAAATACTTGCATCCTCTTCCACATTGCTTCTGCACCATCTTTTGGAGATTCCTGGGCTCCGATGACCCAGAAATTCGGCCTCGGTCCGACTTTGAGCTCGAGCCCGTTTTTA